CACAGGCCCCTGCAGCCGTTTGCTGGGTTAACAACCCTCATCCTCAGGCTGGTCCAGATCCCATATCTGGATCGGAAAATGCAGATCAAGACTCCAGATCCAGTTTTTTATTTTTAAATCCGATCCCACACAAGCATTAGCATTAGCATCTCCTAACCCACAGGTCTGTGTCCTAACCATTAAGTTTTTATCAGAGTAAATCCCTGTTCAACATGAGTCTGACCACTAAGTAAGTAGATAAATAACTTTAGACTTTAACACATGCTCTGATAGGCCGGGATTGGGACATTCCTACTCATCCTGCTCCGAAATGTCAAAAGCAGCACACATGCTCACAATCAGGAGACAAAGGCCCAGTTTTTAACCAGAAATGTGGCTGATTCTCGCCCCCCCAGTGTTTGTGGAGCCCCAGAAGCTGCTTATGCTCCCAAATCATTGAGAGAAAAAACACAGAAGGCGATTCAAATCATTAAAGACAAAAAAAAAAGAAGCTGGAATGAGGTGATTTAAGACAGTAAACTGGAAAAGCTGTGGGAGACGGAAACTTCTGGAGCCGTTTCTGATCAAACTGTGGTAGTTTTAAAGAGCTAACGGAGATAAAGAGGCAGAAAAAAGCTCCGTGTTCATGGTGTTTATGGAGTTTATTGTTATTAGCAGAGGTCAGAGGCTGGATCCCTCCAGCAGATGGCGCTCCAGAGGCCTCTAAAAAGTCCATTTAGGAGCTCCCTCTGCGCCAGAAAATGCTGACTGTCAATAGAGTCGCGCTTTATCTGACACTGAAGCTCCGTGTGAGCAGATAACCCAGATAACACCCTCCGCCCGCTGCGTGAGTCTCCATGTTTCCGGTCTGAAATCGGCTTCAGGCTGATTTCCATTCCATATCCCAGCAGATGAAGCTCCGAGAGGGAGGCTGGACATCCATCTGACCGGATAAAAGTAGCAGGAAAAAAGCAAGAAACAGGAATAGACTCATTTTTTCACAGCTTTATTTGAGATATTTACAATTAGTCAATATTATAGAGGAAATACACACTAATAGATCAAAGAAAAAGCATTAAGACACGATAAGCATTTACAGTAAACTCAGTTTATTGGTGGAAATTGGTGGAGTGTGCTCTGTTTTTCTGTGTCATAAACCCTAAATGGGAGCTCACAGAGG